GGAAGACAGAGATTGATCAGGTGAGGGACAGAGCACTGTCTGTGTGAGTGCCAGACAGTGGCACTCCCCTGCCCTGTGAGGAGAATGGCTGTCAGTCTATGAAACAGAGAACAAAATGCTTGAGAAATAAATACAGGAAAGGTGATCAGACTAGTTCTGCCTGCCCCTGTGTGTAGGTGTCCTGAGATGGGCGGGGGACACATGTTCTATGCGTTTATGAACATATTTATGTATATATGTCTTCATGTTGTATATGTTTACACAGGATATACATATAAGGTATGTAAACATCTTTATAAATGTATACTTACATTATCTGCATATTTACATGTGTATGCATTCGTCATACACATGTGTATGTATGTAACATAGATGCTAATGTGTGAGTCAAAAATTATCAGGACAAAGCTTATATCTAAAATTGCCAGAGCACTTAACCAGGAAAAACAGGTGGCAAAGGGATGAGCAGAAAATCTGGAGTGGAACTTTGGGGAAAGGTGGTACTTAAGGGGAAAGAAGAAAAGGAGGCCACAGAAGAGAGGGTTAATTAATGAAGAAATATGTCCAGGGAAGAAGCATTACCAACAAGGTCAGATTCAAAGAAGTTTCTGATATGTGTTCTAAAATAATGCACACAAACATATACATACACTCTTACACACACACACACACACACACACACACACACACACACTTTAGTTGCTTACCAACAAAATATCTTTTGCAGAGAATTGATCCTTCACAAACATGTGAGGAAGGGTTTTGTAGGCAGAGTAATAAAAAAATCATGGTATCCATGTATCTATTTGCCTGCCTTCCTATTTATTCATAAATGTGTCATAAGATGTAGGTGCTTATATAAATGCTTGTGTATTTACTACAAAAGTATATTTATAATCTCCTTTGATCTTTTTTTTTTTTTTTTTGGTCTTTTTCATTTTTACCGGTACCAGGGATCGAACTCACGACTGCCTGCTTGCAAGGCAGGTGCTTATGCCGCTGAGCTAAATCCCCAGCCCCAATCTCCTTTGATCTTACCTTGACATTTACCAAGATATGGTTATGATATAAATGATTAATATTTAGCAGTCTGAAAGTAATAGATATTTGTACCTTGTCTTGCATCATTTTATAGATTTTAATCATTACAAGAGAATCACTTATCTTTAATTTTCTTACTTCTGAAGTTTTAGATGGACCAAAAGACATTATATGTGGGAGACAACTCCAGTGACTCTCTTTGAATCCAAAACAGTTACTGTGACTTTGATTATTTGGAGAGTCATTTCCTTATACTGATATGTAAAAAGCTGCAAAGTCTATAGCCATCAGACAGTCCTGTTTCCTCGCATAGTGTTCTCCACAATAGAGGACTGAGCACATGAGATGTTAGAGCAAATAGTTTTGGGAATGCCAACTGGATAAGAGCCTCAAGATTAGAGGCTATGATTCCCCAGGACACAAGAGTTTGCATATCAGAAACCAAAGTGATAGCCCCCCAAAACAATTCCACTGCTACCTTAATTGAGTTATGTAAATTGATCCTTCTGCATACCTATATCTCTGCAAATTACAGAGATCCATGCTTGCACCTGGCCAGCCAGCTCAAATTACTCAGTAATCCCCGACATCCTGACTATCACCCATCCCTGAGCCACCCCCTTTCTTCACAAGATAATAAATGCTGGGAGAGGCCTAGGATCGAGGCCTTTGTCCATATGTCCTCACAAGGATTGGATTTAGGACCCTTTGGCTGTCCTTAACTTGAAATATGCCTTTGTGTCTTTACTCTCGCTGTGGATAGCACTGGTGATGGTAGATTGGAATTAACCTGCTGGGATTCCAATAACATCTCAATGGGATTACAAATATAACTTTTGGATTGTTAGGAAAACTAGAAAGAAGATTACAATACTTGGATGACTGAACTCAATATTTGGGTTTGCAATAATTACATTTAGATAAGCAGACAAAGGAGTATTCATTTCAGATTCATATTTTGCTAAGAATGTACTTTTTTCCCCCAAAATTCAGTTTGATACGTATGCAACCAATGCCCAATCTTAAGGGCTCAAGGTCATTCAGAGAAATCTGTTCAGTAACCATGATAATGACCAATACACTATTCCCATCTTGCAGAAGATCTGAATGCCTGAGAAAATTAAAGTTTTCACATTGCCTAGAAGGTTCATTGTATTGACAGTATTTTTACTGGAGCTCCTAGGGTGCTTAATGGAGCCTAGCATGAGTTGGATTCTGAGAATATGTTATATAGAAGAAAAGAGACAAGATGTCCACAGTGAACCACACACATGGCTTAATAGCTAACAGGTCTTCCTGCAGTGGAAAAATGTCATTAGCAGAGACAAGTTTGAAAATTTAGTGACAAATTTCATTAGCACCAAGACTCCCCATATCTTTAGGTTAATTCAACTTGATGACTGTTAGCTAGCATGAAGCCTAAATTCTTCCCTGCAGTGAAATAGGCTTTCCTTGTCAAACTCAATAGTTTGAAAAACACTGAAGACAATGACCTCTCTAGTGTATTTGACGCTCACAGCAGGCCATGTTATAACAGGTTGTTCTTGGTATAATAATTCAGATAATTACTATATTATTACCAGTGTTGAAGCATTTTATTATCTTCATTTGCTCTTCAGTTTTAAAACAAAAAGTAACAACAAGAGAAGACTTACTTTTGATTTTAGAGATTTTATGTCAATCCAATGAGTAGGCCAGCTTTCCTGTTTCTGGTACAAAATACCTACAAAATAAAAGTCAAGAGTTTTATATTGGCTCATGGTTTCCGAGGTTTTAGTCCATGGTCAGCTGGCACCAAGGCAGGAGCCTTATGGCAGAAGAACATGGTGAAAAGCAAAGGCGAAGAATGCCAGTGAGATACACTCTCCAAAGCCTGGGACTCACCCAACACTGGGTTCAACCTCCCAACAGCACATTTGGTATGAATGGGTGGACTAATCTATGGAAAAGTACAGCATTCTCACTATTCAGTCACCTCTCGTGAGTCTCCTAATGCAGCTAACTTGGGAATTATGCTTGAATCATATCCAGTGATATGTTTTCTAAATGCTTTATGCTTATATTGAAACTCATACTTAACAAATAAAAGTTTGTCACTCACAGTTCAAAGTCTATGTTACAGTATTAAAATTTGAACCCAAAATGCTGCCTGTGTTCACAGAGAAATATCGAACTAAAGTAATTCAAATTCAGGTTTTTCATCTTATTGAAGTTCCGGAGCAACTGGTACTGGCCCAAAGGTGACGTGAAACTAACCATAAGGCAGGACACATGCAGGTGTGCACAGGAATAGGGGGCTTGCTCACAGAAGTGTGGGACTTCTGTGAGTAAAGATGCAAGACCAAGTGGGTCCCTGCAACTTGGGTTAGAAGGACCAGCACACATGTTGGTCAGAGTAAAAGTGACTTCTTTTAAGCCTGAATGTACCTGATTTATCTTAAGTTAATGTCAAAAAATCAGGCACATTTCTGGCACTAGAGTCAAGACGTGAAGTTTGGAATCCCAGACTAAAGTTTTTGTCTGTTTATACTATGCTGGGAAGCTACAAAAGGAAATCCAACCAGGATTACTCAGAGTCACTCACTGTAGTTATGACTGGAAATGGTCGTGATGAGTTCATCTGAATTCATACAACCATCATTGTGTCATTTTTTCCCCAGACATACTGTTCAAACACAGCACTGTGTAGTAAAATAAGCAAGTACATGAACTGAATCTAAGGCGAGCACTTAAGTTCTGAGCTATTTAACTTTAACCTTATTGCTAGAGTGCTGCAGCATGACTAACTGGAAGGTCCCTACATTTAACTGCTTTCATGCTGTAGATCATGAAGAAGGTTAAAGAAGAATAATTGAGATGTGTTCACTTTCAGCTGTACGTATGTTATTAAAAAATAGTAGTAAACACATGAACTATTAAAATTTAGAGAAAAAGCGGCTGGGGATTTTGCTCAGTGGCATAAGTGCCTGCCTGGCAAGCGCGAGGTTGAGAGTTTGATCATGGGTACAAAAAAAAAAAAAAAAAAAAAAAAAAAAAGACAAAAAGAAACAATTTTTGTCCCTCAAGGAGGTACATTTTGCTTATGAATGGTTGGCTCATGGTGAGAAGAAGAAGACAAGTTATAGTTGGTTTAATTATTGGCTACATCTTCCACAATTTGTTGCCCCCCCACCTTAAACCCAGAGCCTTTGCCTGAATATCAGCTGATAACTGAGTTGGTCTATTTTATTTTATTTTAGTCTTTTTGAGACAGGGTCTTGCTATGCAGTTCAGGCTGGCTTTGGGCTCACTTTGTAGCCCAGGCTAGTCTTGAACTTTCAACCATGCTCTTACCTCAACTTCCTGAGTGCTGGGATTACAGGAGTGCACCATCACATCGGCAGCCTTGAGTCAGTCTATTAGGAATATCCACACTCATTGTGATTGTTTCCAGACATCCCAGATTAAGAAAAACCCTACAGGAAGCCTTTTGTCACTGAAAATTGTATTACGTTATTACTATAAACCAAAAGTTGCATACCTTGAAATTCATATGTTGAACGCTTAGCCTCACTATGATAGTGTTTAAGGTGAGATTTTTAGGGAAGATAACTGGAATTTGACACGATCATGATGGTGGATCCTGATCTAATGGGAAGGCATAAGGACTCACTGCCTGGCTCTGTCACTCTCCCAGCCAGGGTGCACAAAGAAGAGGCCTTGTAATCACACAGTACAGCGGTAGCCCCTACAGCCCAAGAGGCCACAGCATGCACCACCTAGCCAACCCCTCAGATTTCCAGTGTCCATAAATATGGGGAGGAATTTGGGGTTGTTTAAGCCACTCACTCTATGTTATGGCAGCATAGTATATATTCATCCACTCAAAGTATGTTGTTAGATCTAAATCTTACCAGTTTTGGAGTGGTTTCCATATACCAGTAAAAACAATAAAGATGCTCCTTTTTCTTTTCTGACAGAAGCCACCACTGAAGCTGACTACAGTCCAACGTATGGTAAAGGATAGCGTGCTGCACGTCTTCTAGTGACCAAGTGTTTAAACTAAGATTCAATATGGCCTGAGAAACTCGATTTAACCTGGTATTACAGCCAATACTAAAAGGGGCTAAAAAGTAGTGGGGTTTATTAAGGCATATGGAGAATAATAGATGCAATGGGGAATTTGAAACGCCAACTCTCTGTGAAGAAATAATGCACTTCTATCTTCCCCGGTAAACGCTGTGTGTGCTCAAAGGGAGCACTTTGCCAAAGGCCTTCATTACGGCTAAATGAGACTACGCAACTCCCTTCCCACCTCATCAAACGGAAATTTGGGCATTTGGATGATCAAGGTTAAAAAATTGCAAGGTCAATCCTTCCTCTCTTGATTCGCCTGGCTTTGTGAAGCAGCTCTTACCGTCCTCTCTTTGCTATCCCAATCTCCTCTCCACAAAGGACTCTTGGCCAGTATGCAAACAGGACTAGGTCTCTGGACATATGGTATATTCTGCTGTCTATGACAGAAATAGCGCGATGTTCCGAAATGGGCATGTCCCTCATGGCACATAAGGACAAAGTGGAGACTGTTATGGCTGCCAAGTGTCACCCACCAGCTCTTGTCACACAGGCACTAACTCATTGACCTTGCTGAAATGTAAGTTTTAGCTTCAAGCTACTGAATTTTCCCAGATGTTTGCTCATTTTTAATTTGGCCAATATTTAAGCGCACGCAGGGCATTCTCAATAGGCAGATATTAATCTTCTGTATTTGCACACACATGGTTTGCTGTTCTCAGAGCTCTGTGTTGTTTTCCTGGCATTGGGGGGGGGGGTGGCAAATAAGCAAACAGCTGAAAAACCTTTGAAGTGCTTCGGAATGTGGTGCAAAGTTGGACACAGGAAAGAGATGACTCCAAGTTGCTTGTTATACCAATAACAGATGCAGACTCAGTCATGGAAATCAGAGACTTCCTCTCACTGTGCAGGATACACTTGACCTTTGGAATATCTCAAAATCTGTGTGTCTTGTGCTGTAGGAGATTTCTTCCTGCAATCTGGGCTGATTCCTCTTTGCTTCAAGTGTTTCTCCTGCTCTAATTAAATTGAAGCTGACAAGTTTGAGGCTGTGATATACAACAGCTGTTCATCCAGAAACACAAAAGAGAGATAAAGGGCATCTGAAGAGTTACATTAAATGATTCTCTAATTAGAAGAAAAATATTGACTACGTTTCTGTTCTACCAGAAGTGGAACTGATCAGTGGCTGTAAGAATGACATTTGATGTTTCTGCCTATGAGGACATTGCAGAGGAATTAGGAGACAGCATCAGAGTGCAGACATCTTTCTCTGCTCTTAGTTGTGTGCCTGGCATTGGTGAGGCTGGATGTGATGCTGATCCACGCCATGTTCAGCTAAACCTTCATTACTAGGCTTAGTATTCACTATATACTGACATCATCTTATAAATAACCTCTCATGGGAGCCAAATAGGCCTCATTGTATTAATGGAAGTTTGACCTCAGAGACGAAGAATGAATTACTAATCCATTTTCCAGGGCCCAGACAGAGAAGTGATATTATCTCCATCCGGTTAAGGGAAATAGTGCTGGGGCTGGGCAGTTTAGTTCAGTCTTGCCTCTACCACTGAAACTTATGAGAACATTGTCTCTTTCAGCCTCATTTTAAAAATAAATTCCTGGGAGAGATTAATGAGAGATATACAAGGAGTCTAGCACGGTACCTGCCACGTGGTGCTCTTTTGATTTTAATTAATATCATGATATTCTCAAAATAAAATGAGAAATTTCAAAAACTAAGAATGACACTTTGAAGTCACTATTTTGAGATGGTTATTTTGATGTAACTCTGTCATTTGGATTTAGAAGCATGTTGAGTTTGACTTAAAAAATGGTTTTAGTTTTTAAGGGAGTACCAAGCTAAGCAAGAAACATACTCGCCATGCTTGATTTCTCATACTAACCCCGTGACTAGGACCAGTACTGGTTAGGGTGAAAGTCAGCATAAAGATCAGGAACACCCACTGTGCATGTTGCTTTGAGATAAAAATAATTTTATATCTTGATATGATAATTCTGCAATGACTGCAACAAAGCAGCAGAATCAACATGATGCTATATCACGTCGCGAAACAGGTTTCCAAGACATTTCAAAGCTAAAATTCTATATTTACTTGAAATATCTCAAAAAATATACATGACTGGTAGAGGAGAACAACCGCAAAGGGCAAATGAAAAATTCAGGAGGAAAGAATAAACCCAGGTCCCTCTTATTTTCCTTCAAACTTCTGTTCCACTACCTATGACCCTATAGTCTAAAAATTGCAAGGCACACAAGTAGTTAACAGTCTTGGTGAAAATACTTCATTTACAAACGTACTTTTCCACGTCTAAATTTCTTTCATCCCTGCAGTGCCCTTTTGCCTGACTTGATTGAAATCTCTTCCTTTCTGTCTTCTAGATGCATTCAAATTCTACTGATGTGTGACTCCAGAGAAAGTTCTTAAATTAAGGAGCTAGTGCAAATCTTGTAAACGGATCCATCCCCAAGGGTGCTTTTTTAAACACTAGTTAAGTACTCTTGGAAAAACAAAGAAGAATTTTGCTGTTAAATTAGTTTTGCAAACACTGGACTTCATTTCTTTTTCCTAGGAGAGACATCTAGCATCCATTCTTGCCTTTAGGATTCTAAGTAGACTACTTACATTTGTCATAACGGTGTGTGAAATGTGAGACCAGGGAGCCCACTCCCTAACTCTCTTCTGATTAAAAATCTCTTAGTCTGGTTTTCTACACACAAGACAGATTTGAAAGTACTTCTTTGGGAAACTGGAAGAATCAATGGTATTACATAAGAGAATAAGTAGCCTTGTAAACTGTCTCCAGTAAGCCTAGGTTGGAGGATGCCCGTTGAGTAGTTAAAAGACCTAGAGAATAGTCCAAAGAATACGTAAGAAGGACATAATATAAGGAAGAGCCCATGGCCCTGATAAAGGAGAACAAATAGAATACCGTATTTCAGGGTGAGATAGTGTCTTACTGAAAATTGATGGGAGATTTTGCAAAATGCAAAATGGCTTTATATCCAACTAACAGAACCACTTGTATGAAATTGTCTGTCTCAAGGTAGTGGCTTGAAAATGTCACTTAGTTTAGTACTTCCATCTTCCATTTTATCTGGAGGACGCTCACAACACTAGTTAAAAGCTTTCACATTCCAGGTACGATGCTTAACGGAGCATAAATCTGACGGCTAGTAGGGGAAGGAGACAGTAACTTTTCTTGAAAGAGTGTTGCCTGGAGTTTATTCAGGAGGATAAGGATGATTTTTTTTTTTTTTTTTTTTTGGCAGACTGAACTTCAAGGCCAAAGTGATATGTAAATTAAAATATTCAGGATAACTTGAAGCAGGGAGCAGAGATTAAAGTGTCTCTAGTTAGGGAGAACTTAGGTTTAGAAATTATTCCATAAAAATAATAAAGTGAAATGCTAGCTTTGAGGATTATATTTCGGTTTGAGAAAACCACAAAATAGTAAAAAAAAAAATGTAGTAAATTATGCAAGTTTGTCTTTGGAATTTATGCAAATTTGAAAATCTTTTGGTTTAAACACACTTGTGTCATGGATGTTCTTCCCTTAAAAAAATAGTCATTTTTATTCTGTTATTTTCCCACTCAGCTTTCCCTAGGCTGTCAAAAGCACAAGCTGCAGGGGTAATGATAGGAAGATGATGGCTGAAATGCCAGCCCTAATTAGAGGCTTGATTGCTCTGTAATTAAAAAAAGCCTATATTTGATGTGGACAGTTCTGAGTTGTCAGGTTAGAGTGAATCAAATATGTCTGTACTTTCATTTTGAAATGTGAAAAATGTGAATGTGCATTATTTATATTGTATTTCAATGGCTATAATTAATTATGTGTCTGTGTAATGATATCCCTAAAGACAGTTGATTTTATGTTCAATCTGTATGTGCATTTGCAAAGCTAATTTGTTTCATTACAATTCTTAAGGGTTTATTTGAGCTAAACTCAGGAGGTCTTGCTGGGTGTAAAATTCACAAAGTACAAAGTGAAAGTCCAATTTCAGTTTTTACTAGTAAGCTCTTCAGTGGCTGAAGCCATGTACTAGATATTATTGCAGTAAGTATCAGCGGTCAGTAAAAATAGACATACTGCAACCTCAAAAAGTGCTTTTTTGTTTGAAAAATGTGAGTAAAGTAAATGAACATGTTGCAATTTGAACTCCTTTACTAAACGGAAGAAGAGTATGTTTATTCAATAAAATATTAACCTTGCAGGGTAAGTTGATCACTTTTTCTTGACAGCATGTAACATTTTGAAGACATTTTGCTTCTTCTTAAAATTGTCATTCCTTACTATTTTTATTTTCAATATTTGCTTAATATGCAAACACCTGATGTTAAAATTTCAAAAATATTCTTTCAAGTGGCATGGATTAAGCATTTTTTCTTTGTCAGTATCAGGAGTTCATTGATTTACTTTCTATGAGACCTACATTTAATTAGGAACAGTGAAAATACTATATCTTAAACTCATTGTATTTAAATTTCTTCATGTAGTTGGATATTAGCCATTAAAGTGATGTTTACCAAGATTATATATTTATTATTTCATCTACTCATACTGTTATTGGAATATCCTGGATAGGCCAAAATATTATCGAGTAGCTCCTTCTAAAATGACTCGCCAATTAAATATTCCTGGGTCTTCAGTTGCTTGCCTTTCCTTCCAGAGTTAGATTACAGGTTCTTCTCTTCTTGGACAAAGAAACGAACAAAATGAGCAAAAGGCAATGGCCAAGTTTATTTGAAAAAGTAAAAGCGAGAATGAGAGAGAAACTGGCTCTGCAGGGTGAGCTTGAGCCAAGTAAAAAAGGCAAAAGCAAGATAAGAGGACACCCCGGAGGATGCAGGGCAGGCTGTCCTGAAGAAAGTCACGATAGCAATCTCTTCTTGACATCTGTGCGTTTTTATCTGTTGAAATTTTGAGGAAATCCATAAAATTTCTCCACACAGGTCTTGAAAGGTGATCCTGGAGCCCCACTTCTCAGACTGGAAAACCTGCTGGAGCTCCCACAAGAAATCCACATGCAGGGCTTTGGAAACTGCTGTGTGTGTGTGTCCAGGTCATATCACTAACGGTTCTGCCTGCTTCCCCAGTCAGCTTTGCCACACCCTAATCTCCCATGTTAACATGATAAATAACTAGCTTCTTCTAGTCATGTTACATTTAATCAATAATTCACTGTGATATGTTCAAGGTGGTACTAAAGTTAATTTTAATATTAAAGCAATAATGTTAATATTAATCACTGAATGTTCAAATAATATTTAGTCTCAAATAAATGGATTGGTATTTATGCGATGTGGGTGCCCAGTTCCTTCGTCAGTACTTATTTGCTCATTTTCAACCTCATGGTGATAGTTAAGACCAGCTGATTATTTTATTTTATCCAATTTCAGAGATCACTACTCTCAAGAGGATGAAGCCATTATTTCTCTATTTGGTGTTTTCAGAGACCATTAAGCTTATCTCATCCACACTAGGAAACAAAGCAATTTTCTATCCAAGGTATTTCTGATTCTCCAGAATTCATTTTTCTTTAGATTTAATCCTACACTTCTAGAAGTCAGTCCACCTGCGTACAGCAAAAAACATGGTCAAGAACTTGAAGGTGAGGAAAACAATCTCTGAGATCCTAAGTTATTGCCACAGTGTCTCCAACTTTCTCCTCATGGTGACAATGACTCAGCTTCAGATTTAAATACAGAAAAGCATACATTATTAGAAACAGAATTGCAGCACAAACTACCAGAGAATAGAGGAAACAGAAGTGGTCCATCACAGGCCCCCTCTAGCAAATAAATGGCCATCAGAAAACTCAAATTAGGTGCCCACAGAGCACAGTGCACAGAAGAATCCCAGAAGGTCAGTGATAAAATGTTTGGGAACACTTCTGGGAAGGAAGAATTTTTATAACCCACACAGGAGACAAGAGAAGACACTGGGCAGGAGGAAACCAGAAACCAAGACTGTAGGAACACGTCAGAAAGGCCTCTATGTCAGATACAGTAAGAGGCACTGCAAGATGGGCATGCACACCAGGTCTATCGCAAGGGATGTGGTGAAGTGAAAACAACATCACAAGGAGCTAACCAGAGGGCTTGAGCACAGCCAACATGATCTGATCTTTCACGAGCACTGGCTGAACTGTTTTGATGAGGTGTTGGCATGTATTTGGTACAAAATAAGTGGAAATTGTCCAAGTGATTATAATTATTAGTACTGTGTGGCTAATATATGTACAGTAAGCATTAGACTTCATTCTAAATTTTTTTTATCTCACACACACTGTGATATCAGAATTTAAAAATTTTAAAATATTTGGTCTGCCTTCTCGCTGGCTCCTGTGTCTGTGTTTTTCTCAGTTATTTTTAGATGTGAAGATTTTGGAACCTCACAGGATGGCCGGCTATGTCTGAGAACTGCCCACCTTCTTCTATCATTTTTTAGAGATTGCTTAGCTTCATAGAAATTTTCTACTTTTTCTTATTTTACTTGTTTTTATGTAACCAATTTTTTACTCTTTCATATTTTCAGAGACTAGTTAAATAATTTATTTTTAAAATAATACTAATAGACATCATTATATTAATGTACTCAGAAGAAATACCAAATTACCAATAAATTTGGAAGGTATGGAGTTATTGTTTAACCAGTCTAATGACCGGCTTTTATAATATACATATAGAGCAATTATTTTCTAAAAATTTAGCTTTATCTCTAATTTTTCAAAGATTATGACAAATAGAATTTGCATTTAAAATGAAAGAAATAACTTCATTTTATATTATTTTATATTTTATATAATTTATATTATTTTATATTATATTCATTTTATATTATTTTATATCATTATTTTTGAAACCATAAAATAATGTAATATAAAATACATGTCTATTTTTCTTTTTCCAAGAAACATTTTTTTTGTGGGTGAAAAAAAATAAGGAAATTGTTCAATGACAATGTTGGGTAGTTTTTGATTTGGTGCTAAGAATTCAGCTCAGGTTCTATATATATTAGGCAAGCATGCTATCCGTAAGACACATCTCCAGCCCTAGATTTTTAGAAAAGTAATCACTCTAATTCAAAATGGGAGTTCTCCAGTATTACATCCTACCACAGCTGCCACAGGACCGCCACCTTGGTCAGACTGTGCTCTGGCTCTGAATCTGCTTTGTGTTAAGTCCACTCTTCCTCTCATGCCTTCCAAGGACACCAACCAAAACATGAATGAGTAATAGGAATTGAGACATAGATTTAAAAGAGAGGACTTGTGTGTCTCAGGCAGTGATTTGCTGGTGACTGCTGCTATTGGACTTTAAGATCCAAGTTTATGTATTTCTTTTCAATGCCGTGTCAACATTTGCAGATCAAAATTAAACAGCAACATTTACACCAAGAAGTTGGCAAGCACTAATAACCAAGACTTTGATATTTTGTGGAAAGCTAGTTTACCAGGCTGTCTCTAACATACACTACATATCTCACTGGTCATGGAATCCCAGCTTGATCTTTGTTTGCTAGTCCCTTCAACTTTCTTCACAAGCCTTTGTATATCGCATAACTGTATTCCATAATACCTTTCTCCCCAAAACACTTATTTCTCCACAATTGCATTTTTAAAAATAGATTTTAATTTGGAACAGTTTTAGGTTTATAGCAAAACTGAATGATTAATAGTGTTTCTATCACAAACATGTATAAAATGCTAATGTTTTTGATACCACTATGCTCATAGACCAGAATTGAGTAATTTAAATGATGGTGGATGAATCTGAGGTTTTCACTTTTGGAGTCTACACATAAAGCAGTGGGCTAAAATGAGCCATGTATCAATGATCTGGATTGGAAATGTTAATATTAATTCATATTTATACTAATATATATATATATAGATGGATACAGATGGGATGTATATATGTTTGCATATTGTATATGTGCATGTACGTGTGTGTGTGTGTGTGTGTGTGTAAGAAGGGCAATGATAGCTAGTGGCTCAGAGCACATCTAGTGCCCAGATTTTAGGTTCAACTATGATACTTCAATAAAAAGTAGTAGTAGGACTTTTAGGAGAAATGGATGATTCTAGATCATCTACAGTGCCAAGAAATAAGAATATAATTTTAAAAACTTCAATGATATGAACATATCAAAGGGACTCAGAACTCCAATGAACAAACAGGCCATGTTCAAGAGTGCAATAGTTTGAGCAACAAACTATAATAACATTGAGTTGTAACCAAAGCATAAAATAAATGTTCATAGGTCTATACTGATATAGATGATTGAATAAATGAGGAAAAACAAATCTTTGATGTAATAGATTTGAAATAATTTAAATTTTAAACTAATCTCTCAAGAGATGAAGAGTAACTCACCTCTCCCTAAACTATGGACCTTGCATAGGAGCATCCTTATAAAAGGTGCAGAATAAAAAGGGGGTATATCATAGTGGACAAAACCCTACCTGAGCTAGAAGATAAAAGTTAACAATGAAAGAGATAACCTATGTTGGCACTAGGTGATGTGACATTCAAATTGTGATAAGACTTTAACAAATAAAAAGAAAAAAACATTTGATTATGTCAACTAATGCAGAAAAGTTAATTAATTGGACCTGGCAAAATTCAATACTTTGTAAGTTAGTTAGGAGTAGAGGGGAATTATCTCAGCTTGATAAAGAAAATATACAAAAATCCTACTGCTAAGAGTACACTTACTCATGAAAAATTAAATAATGCACTAAAAAGCATTGAGGATGGAGATTAGTAGAAAATTATAAATCACTCTTTTATGTAAGCCATGATTGTCTATGTAAGAAATTCCAAGGAATTTATAAAAAAAGGAAATCTCTGGAACTATTAATGAACTGCAGTAAAGTTGTAGAACGTAAGATCAAGAAATAAAACTCAGCCACATACCAGCAATGGTCATATGAAATCAAAATTAAAAGCATACAACTACTGACAACCACCTTAGAGAAACTCTCAACATACAAATGTATATAATGTATATAATGAAAATTCCAGACACCTGATAAAAGAGATTAAGCAGCACCAAACAAATTCAGAGACATATTGCATTTGTGGATTAAATAACAAAATTTGTCTATTTTTTCCTAAGTAATCATCATAGTGAAGATGTCAGTTGTTCTTCAAATGATCAATCATTTTAATGCAATTTATTACAAAATTCCAGCAAAGGATTCTGCAGGTACAGACAAGATTATTAACACAGAAAAGCTAAAATAATCTTTAAAATTTTTAAAAAATTATTTTGAAAGTAGTAAAATACAACAGAACAAAACAGAGCAAAGCCAGTTGAGACAGTGCAGTGAAATTGGTACAGAACTTTACAGCAGGTTACTGGGATATCAGTAATAGGTACCATAGTATATCTCATTATCTTCAGAATAGTTGTTCTTTCAATCAGGTATAGCAAAATCAAATGAAATACAGAACATTATAGAACTTCATCAAACAGAATATTGAATAGAGCAATATAATTAATTGGAACAAAGCAAGGCAATGATAATATTTGCCTTCAAAGAGATGGTACAAGGAAGTCCCCCCTATTTTCTACAGTGTATATGGCCAACCTCCAAAGAGATGCTCAGACCTCTGGCTCCCATTTGCTAATGGTGGGGGGTGATGGGATATTTGATTTCAGCCCATGCGCCAGTAGGCGCATGGCTGCTTATCAGGAAGGCGAGCGGGTTACTTTGTTGCCCAGTGCCCTGAGTTCCAACATGGCATGGATCTTGGGAGACGCTGAGTGGTTCTCCCCCTGGGGTGGCTACAGCTTGCCTGAGCCACTACTGCTTACCAGGGAAGCATGCTGCTTGCTTGGTTTCCCAGTGCTCCTAAAATAATCTTGATAAAGAAGACATAAGAAAGAAAGACCTCCTATAACTGATGTAACCAACACTGCATGATGTTGACCAAGAGGCACACATAAAGACCAGTGGAACAGAAAAGAAATTCACAAGCAGACTCAGACATATGCCCAACTGATTTTTGACAAAAGTCTAACACAAGTCCCTCTAAGAAGGAAAACATTTACAATAAATAGAGCTGCAGGTACTGAACATCCATGGGGTGAGGGAAAGACCGCAACCTAAAATTCATGTCATATAAAGATTAACCCAGCATAGACTTTGAAAGTAAATGTAAAACTTAATACTATAAAATAAGCAAAAGCATCCAAATCATTGACATACAGAAATAGATGAAGAGTTCATAGACTTGAAATTGAAAGCAAGTTGTATAAGGGGAATAATTTACAAATTGGATCTCA